TTGTCACTCTGTGATTAGGCAGTCATCTTACTTTGGTGTTGACATTAATGACTTTTATGATTTATGATGCTGGCTTTCAACAGTAACTGAAAGCTTAGACCTTGAAGCTCACATCATGCCTAAGAATTGCTCTCTTCCTCCTCACAAAGTGATACAGCAGTTTAACTGCCTTGGCTGTGGAACTGACTCATAAAGTGCTCAGCTAGCTGGGGTTTTTTTACAAGAATGCAGTATTACAATCCTGTATCTTGGGAAGAATCAAGATCCATCAGAAGGACATTAAGGAATTGGGCCTTTGCTTAGAAATCCACCTCTGACCAAATGACCAACTATCCTCTCGCTTCAGGAGATGGGAGAAGTGAGGGTTTTGCAGTCTAGATGTTTTATTTATATATGTTTTCTTGCTTTAATGTGAGCATCTTAACACAATCCACTTGTACATGGTTCCAAGTAGAACTGTGAATTTCAGCTGGGGACAAAAGACATCTGGAGCATAGGCAAAGAGCCTTCCTTACAACTGGTGTGGTTGCCAGATCTAGTGGCTCTAGTCACAGATACTTGAGATGCCAAGTCAAGGGTGGTTTCAGGCATGGGCACTGAGGGATGGGCTCCCTATTGCTGTCACTCTCTGCATGTGAATACAACAGAATAACTCAGAGCCTTGGCAGGACCATCCCTCAGGCAAGGGCTAAGTTACACTGACATACAAGTACTGGATATTCTCTGCTTACCTCATTAACTTCCTTTCTGCATACTTTTGACCTTTTTCTCTGTTCTGCTGTATTTCTTATGAGTTTGTGATGAAAAGACAGCTTCTTATTTACAGGCATTGAGGTACATTCCCATTTGGTCTAGTAAAATTGCTTTTAATAGATCAAACTTCTATTATTTAAAAAGAAAGGAAATTATTTACATTATAAACTAAACATATACATTGCTAAATAAGACAGAATTCTGTATACAAAAATCATTAAATATCGCCACTTAACATTCTTACCATTGCAAGTGAAATGTATGTTACTGGTGACATGATTGAGAATTTGGCCAGGGGAGGTTGGATGACCTCAAGAATGAGGCTATTTTTTTTAGTTCTGTCCTGCATATATGTCGAACTCTTAGCTGTGGCTTCTTCAAACATTGAGACAAGAGATCCTGGCTTTGGTCTAGGTAGGATTGCTTTTCCACAGTACCAAAATAACTGAGCTTTAACCTTATTGTCAGGATTTTACTGGAATATTGCTGTGCTGTAACTAGCTTTCCCACTTCAATGGTTAAAGTGGAGAGGATCTCGAGTCCTCCATTATTAAGCATGTGATAGTCTGGTAGACCAGCTCAGGAACCAGTTTCTCAATCCCAGATTATTCCTGTTCATACCAGCAGTGTATGCAAAAGGGCATCCCACTGAGATAACTTATTTTACCCAAAAGAAAGCCACCTCTCACCATTCCACTTACCTTAAAAATCAACACGTTCACAAACTACAAAACTGGAGATTACAGGTTGTGATTGCTCTAAGTAGGATGAACACTGCAAGAAAAGCTGTTCTAATACTTGACTTCTGCTTGTGTTACTCAGAGATAATCAGTGATTTACACTACAAGGTTTGGCCTTCCATTGTTGGGTTTTTTCCCTAGTAGATAGGTATGATAGTAATTCTTCCTTATACTACTGCCATATTTCTATTGATAGCTTGCCAATCCAATTGATCCAGTAAGCATCCAATTGATGCTTATGAAAATGTCAAAGGATCTTTAACTAATTAATAATGTCATTAGCTAAGCTAATTCTCAAGGACAGAGCTGACTACATGGAAAGTCCATCAACTCCAGCAGCATTTGCCTTGACAAGGGGAATGGAGATAAGCTAGAGTAAAGGTCACAACTTTTTCTCCTCGGTATTTGTTTCTAAGCAACCCAGTCATCAGTCTGTGGTTACAGCACATGGAGTCGAGTTTGTTTTGCTCTCTTGCCTCTGCAAGTAAGTCACTGAATGTGATGGGCCCTCTGGGAATGAACCACCATCATCAGCTAGCTGAAGAACCTCTTGCTCTATGGGCAGGAGGGTTGGAAGCAGATCCACCAGGGAAACCAGTAGTAATAGAGCTGTTTGGAGTCAGAGACTTCGAGCTAGCTCTTACAGAGAGTAAAACCCATAAATGTAATTTAAAAAACCCCAAACAACTGTCCAAGTTTGCGTGTGTGCATGTGTGAAAAAGCACAAGCATCCTGAGACTGACAAGAATGGACCAACAGTTGGTTCTGTGCAGTGATCACACTGCAGCAACAGACAGTCTGTCCGACTTAAGGCAAGTTAGCAGGTTAAGAAACCACTGAACGGCCCAGCTGGGGATGTGTGAATACTGGGATGGTATTCACAGTCAGTAACCAATATAAATTACATACCAGAAACTACCAAACACTGATGCAGGGAGCTTGCAGACATGACATGCCAGCAGCAAAACAGTGCTGATGACTCTGAGTGATCTGATGGAGATTTACACAGAACTCTTTTTGTGGTATTCTGCCTTTTCTGCACTGGTTATTTAGGCTTTTTCAGCCAGGTGAGAAGCAAGCAGCCTGATGCTGCTAAGGGGCAGGAGTGCTCAGTGTGCACTCTTCAAGTGCAGGAAGGCTTGTAGAATATAAAGCCATACCAGAAAAACTATAGACAGATTTTGCAAGGATTCCCAGAAGAGTTGTTTGGAGTTTAGACAGTCACATTACTGGAACCATAGGCAGCATCAGGGCATCTGTCTCAGATCAGCATGTCAGTAAAGGGATTAAAGAATAATATGCTAAAATGAGCAGTAACACATTTCCAGGATGAATTATTTGTGCAAAATTTTCAGTCACGTCCAAGGATAAAATGATACAAAATAATTTTCTAATTGTGACATGCAATTTCTCTCATGAAAGATGATACTCGATAATTGGAGGTAGTTGATTTGATGCCAGTTTCTAGAATTTCAGGAGAGAGCTAGAGAACACATTGACCAAGAAACCTGCTGTCTTTACTGGCCAAATTGGCAAGAACTGTAATGCAGACCCAAGAGATTAACATATTAGGAAGGAATCAACAAAGTTTTGGTAAACAGAAGTAATTCTTCATAAATTCATTAGTTCTTTGAAGTATTCAACAACCCTGAGGACACAAGAAATCCAGCTGATATAGTTTACTTGAACTTCAGAAGAGATTTTACCACATGCATTTCTAAGGCTCTTAAAGGATATAATCTGAGGGGATAAGCAGGAAGGTCCTTGCATGGATAAGCAGTTAAAAGATAGAACAAACAAGGCTAGGAAGAGATAGTTGTTCTTTACCATGGAAAAGATTATTAATGCTTGGTTTAAGCAGTTCATTTCTAAATTATGTAGAAAAAGAATAGTTGTCTGACTACATTTTGTGATGCTACTAAGGGTACTAAGACAAAGACTGAAGAATTGAAGAAGCACCACGTTACTGAGTTACAGTGCTAGATGAAAAACAAGGCAGAAGGAGAAAATCCAACCCTAACAACATTTATAGTGATGTGCTCTGAGCTTATTAATACCATTCACAAATGATATTTCTATACCAGGCCAAAGAATATTTGGCACAATGTTAAGCAGCAGTCAAAAAATGTATGTTGAATACTCAGAATTATTTAAGAAATAAACAAAAGGGAATGCATTATTCCACTGTAAGCCACTCTGGTGTCCCAGTATCTCCTCAAGTACTTTAAGTTTTACTGTGCCCATCTCATAAAGGCTACAGTGAATGCCTACTCAAACTGGCCGCAAACAAACATTATTATTGTAATAGAATTAACACTAAAATCTCTGTCAGATAGAATACTAGCAGACTGTGCTAATACAGCATCCTAGCAAGGCCCAGAGAAGTACCTGCAGTGGTCATGGTAGGTGTCTGTCCTGCTTGCAGGGCTTATTTTCTTCTGTGATGCCAATGGCTATGGAAATCTCTGGATATATATACCAGGAGGGACACAGTTTTTTAACTATGTACCTTGTGCAAACATTCTTGGAATACCACGTCCACCATTTTTAAAAAGGATGCTAATTAAACTGGAAAGTTTAATTGCACATGCACAGCACTGTGAAGCAGTTTAGGATGTTGTATATTTCACAGCCCTGTGTCTTAAATGTTCTGGGAAATGGGATGAAGTATCTCAACTCCCTCTAACATTGACCCACAGGCCACCCATAGGTCTTGTCACAGCTGCATCACAGCTGCAATACATATGGGAAAAGCCAGTGTCACTGTAGCCTGAGAATGGTAACTGTACTACCTGTGTATCTATAGGTCCTCTCTTGTTTCAATGAGCAAATTCACTGCATCCCCTGAAAGACCCACGCTATTGCCACTGGTGTACTATTATGGATAGTCATTCCTTCTCTTAGTAATTACTAGCTTTGGAATTACATCAGGGACAATTATAATAACTTTGAGAAAGGTTGTTAACTATCCTCAAGTACAAAAATACTTTTTGAAAACACTAACAGTCAAACTGCTCAAATAATGGTTTCCATTGACAGTTTTCTTAGTTCAGCTGGTCTCTTGGGAGTAAATACTTCAGTTGCATAAGTGAGAAAGTTAGTTGTCCTGCTTTTAGGGCCTGCATGAGTAAGAGGAAAATACCATTTCTCTTGGTAATACAGAACCAACATTGCTTAAATGGTGAGTCATCATTAGAACTGACTACTCATTTCCAATAAACCACAATGAGGCAAACCAGACACAGGCACAGGAATTTCATGAATATCCTCAAATCTGTAATTTGAGCTTGCGAGACTTGGCTGATAAGTATAGTTTTATATGAAAACAGACCTTAATCTAAATATTAGAATATGAGGGTGATTCACAGAGCTGGTACTGAAACCACCCTACAGAAACTTTCTGCTGAGCTTGACTACACTCAAATGACAGAGATCACATCAAATGACAAAAACCACATCAGATAAAAAGGCTGATTTGATAAAATTCTGTCCTTCATTTTTTGATAGGAAGAACCTGTTCATCTTGAAGGCAGTACAATGGATTTGCATACTAAGTGGCTTAAGCAAGAATATATGAAAACTCAGAGAAACTGGAAAGAAGTTGATAACAGAATGAATGTGACGATAGGAATACGGAGAAAAATGATCAACAACAAGGCACCTTTAAAAGATATTCTTAGACTATTTCCTTTCTTAAGATGCCCTTATCAGGTAACACAGGTATTTTTAATAGTGACATTGAATTCTGTGTTATAGATGTGATAGAGCTGTAGGCACTTATTTTAGTGGATGCCTCCAGCAAAGTATCAATCCGCATTGTTCTCTTTAATTTTTTTTTTTAATTTAATTTTTGCTGCTAATCCCAGTTTGAAAGGTTCACCAGTTCTGTGTCAAACATGCCACACACAACACCAGTGAGTTATTTGAAGAATTTTGATGTTACTTGATGTATTTCTTCACTGCTCTGAAAAGAAATGAAACCATCCTCTCCAGTTTATAATCTTATTTTACTGAGCTAGTTTTATCCTGTCTTCAAAGTGCATGTGTTGTTTACAATTTTGGTTTTGAGGTTTGCAATAATACAAAGTATTTGTTTTTCTTTTAGCTTTTTAGGGAGTTCCAGCTTCTCACACACATGGACATTTATAAGAAAACAGTCGAGATTTTGGAGATTTATTCAGAAAGCATATTGTCCTTGTATGTGGTGAGGAATAATCCAATTAACATTATGCTGCAAGAAAATCTGAAGCAGTACACAGAGGAAGACATTCTGAAATGTCAGTACAAATCTTCTACGCTCTGAATATCAGAGTTCTGTTGTAGCTAATTGTTCTTACTTATGTAACTAAACTGGTTTCAATTTTACTGCAAAAACATTTAAAAAATGTTGGTTTCTTTGAAAACATAGTGATGGGAAAGCATTAAGAATAAAAGCTACTAAATTAGTAGTCAGACAAGTATTGAAAATTTTTTTTCTATTGAGTGAAAGGCTGCGACAAGTATTGAAAATTTTTTTTCTATTTTTTTTCTATTGAGTGAAAGGCTTCTATTGAGTGAAAGTTTGATAAAGTTAGTAACTACCTTAAAATAAGTATTGCAAGATGAGCAGAAGTATGTATTTCTAGATATGTAAAAGAGTGCTTATTATTTTCTAAAAACGTTCACAGAAAACTAATTTTCTGGTTCAGACAGAGACCCATAAAAAGATACAATTTCTCTTACTGTTTCTATGGTTAAAGTCTTTATCCCTTTAATTAAGTAGTAGTTCTCACTAACCATTTCAGATACCTCATCTCTACAGAGACACATTGCAGGAATAAGGGCACAGATTGCTACCTCTGGTGAGCAGGTACCAGAATCATCCAGGGAGGTCCATGTTCCTCGATGTGTTTGGCTCCCTGGCTGCAGGGGAGCAATCACCTACTGTCATTCACCTTCTTTCAACCTGAGATGTCTGGGGAGTGCAGACAAAACCTTTGAAGCAGTTACTCAGAATCATTCTTCCCCAGCTGTTGCTGCCAATGCCCGAGCTTAGCTCTGTGAGAAGTGCTCCTTAGACTCATTTTCTACCCAACAGGCATGATGCCAGGATGTCAATCAAAGGCCACACAACATAAACATGTGTGTGTTTCCTATAGCAGTTTCACTCCATTTATTGCCAGGCCATTTCTTAAAGAAGCAAGCAAATTGGGCTAAAACACTGGGGTTTTCTTTTGTTAAGCTAAAAAACACAAGTACTCAAGAGCTCATGACAGATTAAAAAGTATCAAGGAATAGCCTAAACCAGAAAGCCTTTATGGACTTTCTACTCATAGCTTTGGTCTTAAAAAACTATGCATATTTTAAGTAATTTCCCCTTTTCTCATACAGTATGTCCACAGAGATTTTAACTCATACCTCAGTGAAGTCTCAAGGCATTTACTTTTTTGCTTTTCTCTCACAAACAACTTGACCTGGAACCTAAATAAATGCCTGACTAGGTAAGTTCAGTGAAACAGATGACACCAGAAGGCTGACCTGCAAAAGGGTATTAAAGTCAATAATAGCTGAACCAGACAGGTAGCAGGTCCCAGGAGGTTCTACAGCACCAGGTTGTCCTGCAGCCTTCAAAGCAGACTCCTCAGGCAATAGGACATCCCAGAGACATCCAGTTTACTAGGAAGAGATGAGTTTGGGGACAGGTGGTGGGGGCAGGAGGACAGGAGTTTGGGGACAGGTGGTGGGGGCAGGAGGACGTCTCAACGTGCAAACTCCACTAGAAGAAACACAAAGGTCAACTTACTTATTGTGGGAGAAACTGAGTCATAATGTTGAGTAGCAGAGTTTCATGAATAATTTGAACTCTAATGCCCATTACCAGCTGAGGTGCCTAATATTAAGACTGGTACAAGCTATTCTTCAAAATGGACTGAATAACAGCTCCACTGCTGAGCTGTTAACTATTACATAGGCTGCAATCTGCTTTTCCAAGACAATGCTGCAGTGCCAGAATGTTTCCATTTGTAATTTAGTAGAAATCCTTGCCTTTGACAGATATGAAAATGACTGCTGCATGTTTACTCCTGCCAGATGTCTTTGGAGATGATTCCAGTCTGTTTGCTGTGGTGAACGAGGAGGTAGGAGACAGAGCACCAGCAGTCTTGGTCTCTCTTCCTTCTATCAGCTGCCTGGGCACATCACATGGACTTTTGGTGGCTTAGTTTAGTTCCTGGAAAAAGATTACATTAACCTGCCTTTTGAGTAGAAGGCAAATACTCATAGAAATACTAGCTAAATCTGTTATTAGGCTTACTTAATTCTCTGATCTATTAACTATAGCGATACTGTGGCATCATTTGAAATATCCTTTTTTCAATTTAGGTAAAGGCAGTGACACCAGTGTTGGAAGTAAAGAATCCCTTCAACATGAATTCATGTGAGTTTGCACTGTACATAGAAAGAGAAGAGCTAGCCCAGCTCGATGACTGCACCATGGCCCTGGCGGCGCTGCTGGCTGCATTTCATGTATTTAATATCCCATGCCCAAAGAGAATCCACAGGACTCTGAACTTCCTGGAGTCCCTGGTCTTTGAGGTGAGGAACCCAGTATCCCTGCCCATCCAGGCAAAGGCAGAGCTGGAGGCTCCCAAGTATCCAATACCTGATAGTGCACCCAGCACTCCTCTTGGGAGCATTTGATATTTTGTCAAAATAAATCCCTTTGTTGTGAAGATAAAATCAGTGCCATTCTTTCTGGTGAAAGTGTATGTATATTTAAAATTTATGTTTAATAACGCCCTTTTTTATTGTACTGGCTACTTTTAAAAAAATTAAGCAGTTTCATTATTTCAATGGAAATTTTAGAGCTGTCTAGAGAGAATAAAATTTTCTAGATTACATCATGTGTCACATACTATTTTTCTATATGGAGCATTTGACAAATTCAAGTAATATTTTGACTGCCAGAGTTTGAAAAACATATTGTGAGCCATTGCAAGCTCTCTGCTGCTTCAGATGCTAATATGGTTAATATTTTGAAGTGGCACAAATTCAAGATTTACTTACTACCACCACTTCATTATATTATGATCACTGAGAGCCTAATACAATAATTTTTGTGTTTTAAAATGGTGGGCCCGATTTTTAATTTGCAGAATGATGATTTTTCATTATTTTCTCCATAAGTGAAACATTATTTTCATTTGTTTCACCATTAACCCTGAATTTTCTAAATAGGGATTCTAAGATGAGCTCTCTAAGTAGCAAGAATGACTTATCTGGGATGCTGCCATGTGCATTTGTAACCACAGCTTTGGTGCCTGGGAGAGAATACCCCGTTTTCTTTCTGAATCTGTTCCCCAGATCAAATTGGCCTTCTCCACATGGTGACTCTCTGCTCACATAGACTGAGGGTCCTCTCCTCTCTTCTTGCACATCTTCCTCTTCTCCCTAACATGCTCCTCTTAACTCCTGCATGTCTGGAAATCCCAAGGGATACAGCCCAGCAGTGCACAGCTTTGGACAAGTGCCTGGGGACACACTGTAGAAACAGCCAGCAGACATGACCCACTGCATTAATTAGAAATAAAAAGTGGGTTTTTTATTGAAACACTACATTCTAGTAAAGAGATCAATCTCCCACCAGTTCTAAAAATGTCAGTGTAGGCAAAGCAGCACTTGTGGTCTACCACAGTTCTTTAAACATTGAAACAAACAGCTTGGAAGACCACAGCAGCTTTGTTAAGGCTTGGCTGTGCAGTGATGACTCCAAGGCAGAGATTACAGTGGGAGATCCTGCAGTGTGAGAGGAGAGGGCTGCATTTAATGGCCAAACTCTCTTGCTGAAGCCTTAGGATTTGTCATGTGGCTTCCATGGTAATCAGGGGACATCCTTTACTGGTGTGATGGCTTGGCTACCACCAATACAACACACAAAACAATACCAACTGCCATTTAAAGACTCAGTAGGTCTACTCAGTGTTTTTAGTTTGCAACTGAATTTATTTGGCGCAGTTTTTGCAACAGAGGCGGCTACACCCAGCGACCTCATCATATGGGATATAAAAGTAAGGATTATGCATGTCCTCACTCTTGTACGTGATAGCTGTATGAATAAAAATTGGGCTCTGCATCATTTAAGTGAGGTTTATTCTACATTTTGTGAACAGTATTAATTCAAACCCATTTCTTAAACCACAGTACTTTGTAAGTAGGTGTATATAAAAATTCAGGGAGCTGCTAATATCCCCAAGTAATCCCTGTCGAGCTGCAAATATCTTCATTGGTTATTACTGCAGGCTACAGACCTGGCACAAAAGAGAGACACAGAGGGTGAAGGAAAATAAATTACATGGAAGGACAGAATGAAAGAAAACAGAAGGATTTAGCATTTTACTGATCTACATGGGCAACTTCAGCTGCTGCCAGTGACAAAATCCAGGTCTATAAATGGGATTCTGATTGTGACAGCAAGAGGCTTGTGAGCCTTAGGAGTAAATGTTAAGGGAGAGACAGCAGCAGCCAAGTTGCTCTTCAAAGCTCATGGCCACAGTGAACTATGGTGAGCAATTACTGCACACCACCTTCAGGAACAGCTGGGTACATCTGAGAATCCTGGGCACACACTAAGGTAACAGACAGCTCCAGTTCAGGTTTTATTGGTATTGTAGTACAGTAAGAGTGCAATTTGAATGTACAAATATTGAACAAAATGTAAAAATATTATTTATGCAGTGCTATGGAAGGAAATGAACAGAGCAATGCAACTTACTTCATACTGACCCTGTTTCACCTCATATTATGGCAGGTACCAGTCACCTACACGATCTGGAAGGGGCACAGAGAGTTCTTGATAACTTAAGAACTCCAGCCAAAGAACAGCCTAACAAAATCTGTGGGAAGATGTAAAATTCTCCCAGCTCTGTGCAATGTAAATGCTCTATTCGTTCTCAGCTCTAAAGGCTGAGCAACTGCCCACTGCAGCACTAAGAAGAGGCTGCCAAAAAGCTTGATCGAACTCTTCTCTCTCCTCTTGCAAAAGTAACATTCTGGAACAGTCCTCAGTATACAGGTAGCTAGGCTTTCTCCCATATAAAGTGCATCTGGTTTACATCTTACATATATATACCAAGTGCAACGACTTTCCCTGACAAATCGTTATGATAATCCTCCAAGAAAGGAGGCTGCCTCACCTAAGTAAGTGCTGGTGACATATGCAGCCTGCTAATAACCCAGTGAAACGTGTGCATTTGGCACCTAGGATGTGCTGGTGCACCACACACGTTTAAGTATCCTTTTCCTCCATGCTTTGTCTTTCCCCCTATGCCTTACTCATGTACAAAACAGACTTTTCAGCTAGAAAGTGGTGGGTGAAATAATTCTCCCACCACTGGCAAAACAAAGCTATGTTGAATATGAAGACAGAGAGCAGTCCTAGCTTTAGCACAGTTTTCCTCCACTGCTGTGGTTACTATACTGGAGACTGGCAAGTGCAGAGAGGATTGAATGTACTATCTTTTTTGCTAATCTCCTTGTCTTCAAACATATGTATTTTCCTTCATGTGCTGAAGGACTGTAGCAGGCTCCCATGTAAAAGCCTGGGACTACTGTGCAGCATAAACAGAAAGTCTTCTATGAAGTCAAACTTTATTTTTCAGTTGCAGCCTTCTCTATACTGGTCTTTTGGTAAAATACATTAAAGATGCTGGTGGCAAAACTCACATAACATTTTTGTAATCGTGCAAAAGTAAAAACATTCAGTTATCAAAAAAGCATTATAATTTCAACCCCAACAAGGTTTGTTTTGTTACAAGCAAACAGACAGTTTTATAATCTGTAAAGTTATATGCTGTAGCATAAAGTGTCACATATGTAACATTAAGTGTTTTATTTTTCAACTATGGCACAAATACATATTAGCCATAACAGTCTCATCTGGCTACCTGTAGCCTAATTTTTGGCTAATCAGTTTTTATTTTGATAGTATGAAGTAAAAGCTTCTGAAAAGTAAAATGGGTACATGAAGTAGAATTCAAGAATCCTTAGAAAATATCAACGTTCCCTTATATAATACAGCATAAATAATTAATGAGGGTTTTCTTGATGTCCAGAGAAAGTTAGGGATCCTAACCATCCATGGAGAATTAGCGCCATTAGTTTGGTAAATAAGACCAGCTGCCTCAGTTGTTACACAGTACCTTCTCAAAAGCTTGAACACTTCCCAGAAGGATTCAGATATGTACTGGCTCTAGGAGAATATAAATAGTCCACCAGTGCTGAACTTACGTTTCTTCCTTTCTGAGAGTCCTTACTCAACAGTTCTAGCGTCTTTGTGCTTTGAATAAAACATGAGCTCCAGTGGAGAAAGCTGGCTCGTGCACATTTTTCCATTATCTTCAAAGTTCATTGTGTGAGTTTTTCTCTGCAGCTTTGAACATCAGAATGGAATTAAAGATTTTTAGGGCTGGTCCCAGTTTAATGCTCATTATTTTGACTATGTCTGATTGGGTCATTAGCAGAAATGCTTCTCCATCAATTTGCTTTAAAAGAAAAACACACAAAGCTATTAGTAGGTCTGACAGTGCAGCAGTATAGATGTTTTAGAAAGCATGAAAAGTCCCAGCAATTTCAGACAGCATAAAGGACTGGCTGAATACAAACACTTTCAAATACTTTCAGGAGAGCTTTGATTTCAACCTTTTAGACAGATCAGCTAGTCTGAAAGAACAGGATGATCTTCTTTCTGTTTGAAAACACCTGTCTGGCTAATTTTTAGCTAACCAGTTCCTATTTTCATCCTGATAGTATAAAAGCTATTGAAAAGTAAAATGGGTAAATGAAGTACAATTCAACTGTACTGAAGCACAGCAATGCTTTTTAACATCTTAGTTATTCCTTTTATGCAAGCCTGCATGGAGAAAGCTTCTAGACTGCACTCCCAGCTACAGAGCTAGATCTCCCTTCAGGCCACCACTTTCTCTTCATTAAATAGCAAATTAAAATGAATTTGATCCCAGATGGAAACAGAGGCCAGGCTACATACAACTGCCTCTTTGATACAAACATAACAGAATCTTTCAAAACAGAGTATTTTTTCTGCCAGCTTTGTAGAGTTGCTATTTTAGTAAACACTGCAAGTGAATATTCTCCTGTAAGCAAATCACTCTGTCAGCAGGAGTGCTAAATCCAAACATGAGGAGCCCCAAGGCCCTCACTTCCAAGGGTTCCAATGGGCCAAACACTTCCCGTGTAAACTTCAGGTCAGTTAGATACCTATAGGTAAATTTTCAGTGTAATATAAGCTGGATAGCTATGCCTAAAGCCAACTGTGGTTAAATCAGGAGCACTGTTTAGGCTTTGAGATACTAATCTGAGATCAAAACAGTGTAAGTTTGTGTAGGACTGGAAGATAAGCTTTCTGAATCAGACATGCTGCAAAGGAAACCTGCAAGGCACACTCCAACACTGCAAGTTGAGGAACTCTGAGGTCAGAACAGCACCATGTGGTCACCATAATTGCTTTGTGCACCAAGCCAGACTTGGTGGGCTCAGAACCTGAAGTGTGTGAAGCTGGGGGCGCCCAGATCAAAAGCTGCAGCATCTTAATATAAGCAGGATGCAGGTTCACTTCTATAGTAGAAGTTTGAACCAGTACCTTCTACCTACTGAAAGACCTACTGATACCGGTCGATCTTACTGGGGGAGGTTTAATTTACTAGTCACAGACAAAGCCAGAAAGGCTTAATCCGAAAGAGGGGAAGTATTTTCTTACACCTCTGAGAATGAAAGTGGCACTTTTCACCTGCTGACTTGACTAGCAATATGCCTGCTTTTATTCTTAAACTCATAGATCAGACACCCTAAGCTACATAAGGGATGATCTAGGCTTGCATACCAGCTGCAACCGTAAAATGCTCAACATCTGAGCAAGTGCAAAATGCCTAGAGGTGCAGCCTGTTGATCCTCTGATATGCAGATGCAACATCATTGCAATCCAAAGCACAGCCTGAAAACTTGTTGCAGGAGGTTAGCAGGGTCATCTGTATGCATTTTTCTCAGGAGGTGCCTTCTCAAGTCTACGTACCACAATTATTCTTCACTTAAAAAGCTGGCTGATCTGCCCATTCAGGTGGTCTCCCTGGGATAAGCACCTCAACTATTTGCTCAGGCATCTGTGATCAAACTGCCTTCTTGAACATTAACAGGAGTAACAAACCTCTGAGTGGAAAAGAAAATGCCAAACTAGTTGGAAATGGCATAATGTATCTAAAAGCCCTATGGATTCCTAATGACAATTTTGGCATAACAGTCCAGATATCAGAAATGCATGCCTGGCAAGCTCACAAAGTGAGTCCTTTGAACCTCATCAGAACCTTCAGATCTTCTCAATTCCTGCTCACTTAAATCATATTCATAAACTGGCTATATCTGGAGGAAGAGCATCAAGACCTAAGTGTGATAAGACAAGATGCAGAGTTTTAAGAGGTGGTTATCTTCTGCTTTTTAAAAAAACTTATTAACATCCTGCAGAACTAAAATAACATACTTACCTATAAATTTCCTCAAACCAGACTAAGACAGAACAGTAACAATCCATGAAGTTCCTAAGTAATTTCAATTGGTAGGAACAAAGCTAGAAAAGTACAAGAGACCTGGCCTAAAACTTGGCTAGTTTTATCTTTACTTTCTTCCCACTTCACGACCTGCAAACCAACCTTAATATTCCATACATTTGAATCTGACTTTAAATATACACTTCATCCTACTAGTTTATATATATTTGTAATGATAACATAAAATTAGTATTTACAGCAAGCTTTGCACTCTGAGTCTTTCTGAAATAAAATTCACCTACCTCATCTTTAAATACCTTGCCATGTTCTTCACATCCTGGCAAACTCCGTATAAATTCAGAGACCTGCCACCAAAGTATACAACAAAAGATTTACTAAGACCAGTGTTTTCTGGCAATAAAGACTGACACTCATTTAAGTCTTCTAGCTATTGTTTTTACAGCCTCATATTAGGTGTTCCATCTTCTGTACGTGAGTGGAGTCATGCAAATGGATGTTTAAGGACAGGATTCACAAAATCAGCAAACTAAAAGAGCACATCCCACTCTTGTCCGCAGCGCATTTTTTTCAAAGTTCACGCTTCTTTCTTCTCTGGTTAGAGGACATCCCACTGCCAGAGGTGCAGAAAACTGCCTTAGTCATAGGTACTTCTGATAGTAAAGTAATGACAAGACTCTGTCAACCTCCAGGCTGTATTTTCTCACCTTTTGTAAACTTAACTGACAACTACAATAGAAGTTGTTTAATGAAGGAAGTAACCTTTTGTTTCAAGCACTTCGTAAGATTATATTACTTAAGTAAATATGCATTAGGAATGCAGAGAATATGTATTAGACGGGTGTGTTCCATGTAAATTTTACCGTGCAAAAGATGTAACTTTTTACCTCTCGGTGTGTTTGATTTGTGGAAACCTTCACCTTGCACCCTGTGCAGAATAAACAAAATCTTTCTACACTAGACTATGTGACTGTGTTTAGGGAGCTCCTAAATTCAGCAACATGTCTGTCCAAGCATTATTACATACTTGAACAGAGGCAGGGCTCTGATCTTAACATCAGCTGTTATGGCCTGACCATAACCATACCATTCCTCTCTGCACTATACTCTCATCCTCCAAAACAGTGTGCCACATCCAAACTGTGCACCAGGATTAGCGTCTCGGTTTGTGCTGATTCCTAAACCATTCCAGAATGTTTGTGTGGATAGTATATGTTAGTAGTGTAGACCTTGAGCACCTGATCTGCTGGGTCATACATGTAGCACTTAACCTTTTTACTGCCAGTGAGCATGTTTACATATTCATCTGTGCATGTATTATCTCTATATATACTATACATATTTTTCTGTATCTATGCACATGTAATACTTCACATTAATACTTCTGCTTGCCAGGCTGCATGGCAGCAGAGCAGGTATCTTGGGGATCAGTTACGTTAGGTCTGGCTGAGTCTAATCCTCTAAATACTAATGTATTGTTGTTAATCTATGGGGATAATCTAAAGCTCTGTGCAGTGGTAGCAAGATAGAAAATAGAGGGGAAACCTACCTCATCTGTACTCCACTTCGACACTTTACTGGCTGGGATCCCAGCTACACTTGGAAGGAGCTTGCTCTGCTGTTCCCAGCGCAAGGGTAGGCCAGGGATTTGCAACTTGGAAGACACAATAACTGGTTGAGAAAGAAGCCTCTGCGTGTTGGGTTCTTCAACATCTTCAACAACAGGAAGCAATAAAAAAAGCATTAAATCCCTCAGTCAGTGACAAGATCAGTCACAGTAAAAACATATTCATTTCCATTGGTAAACATGAGTCTCCCTACACAAGCTATAGAGTTTTGCTTACACCAGAATTAAGAGTACCATGACTGTTCTTCCACCAGCATGACTATCATTATATTGGCTCTCTATAAACATAACTGCCCTTACATGAACAAAGTCTCTTCCAACACAACACAATTCTATGCCAACACAACTGTTAGCACACCATACCATAGATCAAATAATTTAAAATATTTTGGTACAATGAATCACACCCACATTTAATAGTTGTACAGCAGTACAAAAACTAACTTAATTCCATGGTTGAGTTGTTACAAATTCACTGCTACAAAATTCCAAGTGAATCAGTTGTACAGTTCCAGCCCACACAACATTTATGGCTCATCCACAATAAAATGTTTTTCAGTTCTTCTGAGGAAAAATCGCAAATGTCTGCAAATTCTCTGCTTCCACTTGAACTGAATGTTTTATTTGGAAAATAACATTTAACTCCTCCATGCTACTTTTTATCTCACTCATCCCACAATGGAAAGAGTAAGTTCTCATCCCAGCAGCCTCAAAGGTAATGTACTGGTGGGAGGGTGTCTTCAGCCACATGCTGCTGTTTGTCTGGAGAGAAGCAGCAGTTGCAGATGTGTGTAGGAGGAAGGAGTGAAGAGGAATGCCTCAAATGATGTCAAACTTCATAAGACATCTACATTCATTTTGATCCTCTGGAAAGGCAAAAGCAACATGCCTGCTATATGAACTCAGGCCCAAATGCTTCCCAATTGCCAACTAAATTTGTGGAAAACCTCTGAAATTCACTTCTGAATGAAACAGCCAACAAAGAACTTATGCCTAATATTACTTGCTAGCATGGCTTCATGCAGTTACTCACAGATCCCTAAGCTGTTTGGATCACTCATTTCTGTTGCAGTTCCACTCCTGCTGCATTTCCATTTTTGGAAAGTTGCTATTAACCACAGTTCAACCTATCCTTACTGTTCTAGTTTTCACACATTTGTGCGCAACAACTAGGGCACAACTTCCCATTATAGATTTTTGCCAGCACAGCGGGGCTGATCTAGAATATATAATGCAGCCAATATAGGATGTTATTACATTTGCCTGTGTTGTTTTGCTCCTCTAGATTAATTTTTTGTTACTTTCAAGACTCATTCTGATTTTATATCAATGTCTATTATTCAGAAGTTGACTCTTAAGCCATTTAGTCAGTACTGTCAGACCACTCTTCCATTTTTTTAAAACAGACTCCTTAATTTTTTACTACCATCATGCTCTCACTTTTGGAAGTCAGTTCCCTAATCTCTGCATGTCTGTTTACACTTCGCTGTTGTTCTTCAAATGCTCCTTAGAGCTTCTAATACTAGTAGAAATCTCAGTGAGAAAGGAATGAGTCTTGCAAGGCACCAAGCATGATTTATGTAAAGACTATTTTACTTTGTTCCCTCGAATCCCTTCTCCATCCTTATCCTCTGACATTTTTCCTTCTCAAAAAGGTCTCTTAAGAGTAAAAAATATAAGAGTTTAGTTATTTTTTTTGTATTTCATTCACTAAACATGTAATACATTGATACTGCCAGATAAATAGCAGACTACAACACTGTCTAAAGAAAATTCCAGGCAAATTACATCCCATATTCACACATATGGAGTGTAACATATGGATACATAACAGTATGTAGGTACATGCATAGTGAGCAGCAGAAATGACAGTTAAGGTTACCTATCTGTCCCATATGCCTCCATTTTCAATAGTTATGTCAAATTCTAACAATTCCAAATGGAAAAAAAATCTATGCTGGGCATCTGTCCATGCTCCAGGTTTTTTTCTTTTAAAACTTCAAACAAACACGGGTCAGCTGGTAACTAACATGACACTGCATAATGTCAAACCTTGTACTTCATGTACTCGGATTCAAGAGCTCTATTTACTGACATGGAATGCCTTTGAGGGATGTGGGCATAAATAAATACCTCTGCTTTTCAGCCTGTGTAGTATCTGCCTCACAGGTAAGACGAAGAGCACAAAAAGAGCATGTGAAGTGCCAATTTACCCAACTAGATGAAGATATGAAAAAATAAAAGTCCCTAACCCTGCAGCAGGTGTAACCACCTCACAAAAAAATGGAAGTTTAAGTTTAGTGTGGGGAACCTTTTTTTCAACAGATGGTCCAAAGGACAGCATTTTGGCTACAATGTAAGTCTGTAATACCAGACATCTAAAAATTATCCCCACCCTCATGCTTTGGTATTCCTTGTTCTGCAAACCCTGCTTCCCATAGAGAGTCAATCTGTGTTTCTGAGCCAGAGAAAATATGAGATGTACTCCAACTTTTGTCTCAGTTGGGACATTTAGGAGAAGAGCAACTTGAGGTGTGCCATTGGGTTAGCCAGTTTCATCGCAGAACCACAAACAGCTTCTTGAACCATATAAGTGAAGAAACAAAATCTGCTAGTCAGCTCCATGTGAGATAGCAGTTAAATGCAGTAAGTTCATGCTTTTATACCTGACTTGTTTTTTCTCTGCTGACACCTGCCTTTACATTCTTCTTCATATCACCTCCTTATCCTTCTCTCTGAACAATACCTTGCTTAATTCATCTTAGTGAGTTACCACAGAAAAAAATATAACCTTAATTTCAGAGAAGCTAAATGGCAAATACTTTCTAATATTAGTAAGAGACCATTAACATTGCTCATTCCCTCCTGCATGGTTCTAGCTCTTAGCATGTATGAGGCCCTTAAGCACAAGATTTATATCTGAAAAAAAAGTACGAAGGGGATGTGATTTCAGTGGAGTTCTTTAGTTCCAAATAATCTCTCTCTCAAAAAAAGGGAAGATAGTAGTACACATTTTATAAAGTTATCAGTAGAGAACTGGTCAAGCGAGTACGAAAAAAGTAGGCTGAAGAGTAACAATGTTTTTAAGTGACATGTAGAAAAAATAGGGCAACAAGTACAGATATTCAACAGTCATTGTTCATAAAACTGCAATTACTTTATCCTGAGTTTTCCATGACTGAGGACAAGAACACAATGGACCATTTTCATCCTACAAATTAACTATTACAGCACATGTAAACACATAATGGCACAACATTATGTGTATAAAAAGGAGAACTTTTCTAGACAACAGGGTAATAGAGTGTCATATTTTTACAAATCTAATTATGCAAGAACCTACTTAGCAGAGCTTGTTGGTGAAACTTTATCCAAAGAGTTAATTCTGTCGAACTCAAAATGCTTCACGAAATCAGGCCAGCTTTCCTAGCCTTTATAAAAAAAAGAAATCCAGACAATTCAAAATGCTCCCAACTATTTGGTTTTTTTAATTGTTATGTAAAGTCCACATCAAAACTGCATGAAACAAAAGTTTATGCCGAAACAAAATACTTAGAATTACCAAAACCTCTTTCTTCTATTTGCTTTAGAGACTTTGTTCTTTTAATGCTTCATTTTCTCTAGAATTCTGAACTACATCATGTTTCAAAACACCATAACACCTTTATCACAGCTCTTGCAATAGATGGAATGTCTCTCTCATATGTTAAGAGCACACTGCCCCTTCAGAGTACATGCTGCCTCTTAGACCTAACTGTATTTATTTTGCACTCATCTTTAGAAATGTGATAATGTCGTTAATGATTACAAGATAAAGAAACATCGTGCTCAAAGTGTTGCTGTCAAGAAATTTTGGACACAAATAGTGAATGTGGAAAATAAGTTGTAAAGCAGTTTCATGAGATTTTCAAGGAACATCACGCTTCTTCAGTTCTGTAGATTTTAATGTGAAACAAATGAAGTACTGCCAATTTACCTTTAATTTCACTTGAGATGAACAGCTTATCTTCTGTTTCCTCTTCTTCACACTCCTTGTTCTTTATAGCATCCTTTGTTTGTGGTACTCCACTGAGGAAAATAAGATGTTCAATTTTTATTAATACATCATAAAAACTACTAAGCATGATGACATCTCTTGCTAACAATCCTATTAACACCCCAGGATTCCCATACAGAGCATGTTATATCATCATAAAATAAACAGAGAGAATCTCATTTCTGACTTACACAGATTGCGTGACTACTGACATGAATTTTGCAATGAAGGCTCAAGAACAGTGTAAGCTAAGATTACGTAAATCATATTGACACACGACTTCATAATTGAAACTGGAAAATATACAAATGAAGGCAGTGAATATGTCTACAGCAGAATATGGGAAGAGATAAAACCACATATATAGCTGCATGTCTTACAAAGCTTTACTGGTTATCCAGGCCATTTTCAGGAGCAGTCTGAAGCAACATCTACTCCTTTTTCTCTGCCCAACCTTCATCTACACCCCAGATCAACTCCTTTACTACAGACACCCTGTTGAGTAGCTGCTAATCATCCCACTGAGAATTTCTGTATTCTATTTGTTTTTTTGCATTACTTCTTACCCAGCTTGAAGAGCTGCTCTTTACCTGCTGCCTGTGTCTGCTCCCTCAGCTTTGCCAGCCCATTTACAAAGAGGGAATGCTTTCCCCCAATTGAGAAAAATGGGGCAAGAGAGGTGGAAAAAAGACAATTTCTCAAGGCAAGTGTATGTCTGTGTGTGTGCATTTGTGTGTGTGCATACGCATCTTAACATCAGCCCCTGGGAAGTTCCCTCTCAAACTCTACCTTCAGGAGGTATTTCCAGCCTGGTTTCTTACAAACATAAAATGACATGAACTTGCTGACATTACGTGTGTATTTCCTTCTGCTTTTAAGAACTTGAGAACACTTTGGCCAATTCTTACTAAACCATCACAGATGCAGAGCTCTCAGAGGCACTAAGTACATAACAAGCATATTCTAAAAATAGACACCAGACAGCATCATCTCAGAGTGATGATTACAAGAAAGCCCACTACTCTGTGAACTGAAGCTTTACGATCTGCCACAGAAGCAGTCAACAAGAACTCCTTTACAAATGTCATAAACACAGATAAAAAGCCAATCTAGACCTAACACCGTGTTAGACATCATGAACAGCTAACCTCAAAAACAAATCTGAAGAAAAAAACAAATCCAAAGAAACAGATCTGTTTATTTCCATTGTTTACATTTATACTATTAAATACCATTTATATATTATATACAAGAAAGCATTTGTGAAGAAATCAACTAGGAGCTGCAAGTTCACTGATATAAACAGAAATATAATTAACACACTATTAATGGTGCAAGATGAAACCTGTGAGGAAACATGTACCTCTCTATTTTCTTGAGGACAATTTTCACAGCAACATATATGCAGAAATTTTACCTCGCCAGTTAAACACAAGATAGCATCATGAATTGAAGGTTTTGGGGAAGAGGTTGGAAGATAAATCAAATTTTCTTTTAAGAGGCAGTATCACTTGATTCCCAAGCCTGAGTGTTCACATCTCTTCACTGTAAAGATTTCCAGAGTGCAATTTCTATTACAGCAAAATTCTTGAGGTACTCTGATGATACGTTCAAATTAAAATTAAATATGCTGTAGGCATGTAATTTTTATGTTGAATTTGAATCTCAGGAACATTCCAGAGCAACAGACTGCAGTATTTACATAGATACTTTTGAAAATAAAAATTTTCTACTATAATTTTTTGATGTATAGATACCTTAAAAAAAAGAAAAGGAAAGGAGTAAGTGGAAGTGGAGATTAGCTGAGTGCCACTTATATTTAACGCAACAAAATAAAATTCATGTTTGAGTATGTATGTGGTTGGGTCCTCAATCAAGGACTTCTATGAATCAAAAGATTACCTGGAATACGAAGGTATACACAACTGAAATGAAGTCAAACATAATTAAATCCACACTATGAGCTCAGCAGCTAAAGAGCACAGAAGTGTGTATCTCTGTCTTCAATTATGCATGTGTACTTTGAATACACATATAAAGATCCACCGGGTATTGCAATAACCAGATGCTCAATATTTTATAACCCTAGCAGTTCATATATACCTAATGTTGTGAACATCATTTTTCATGCCTTTTTCAAAGGAAGATTATTCAACTGACAGCCCCCTCTGACTACGCTGGAAACATAATGAATGTGAAAGCTAGATGATAAAATGCAGATAGTCATCAGTATATTTTGGCACGAGACTGACTTTCACTTTCTTAATGAAAATGACTCAACACAGTGAACAGACAGCAAACAATATTGCATATTTTAAGTCTTCTGAAGATAACACCCTATAAAAAAATCAAAACCAGTTTTCTTCAATTAATCTTAAGACATAGCCTGTAAAGCCAAAGTTTATTTCTTAAAAAAGGTCAATTTACTATAACTATGGCTAAAATGATGAATTACAACTATTTTTGAACATGGGTTCTTTAAAAATTTCACTTGAAACTGTCTTTTTTTTTTTTTTTTCTGTTTCAATTCACTTGAGTAAGACTAGCAAAAGCTGTTTATTTGTAGTATGGAAATTATATCAATACTGCTTGATGCTCCTTTTCCAGTATAATTTGAACAATATAATCTGAAACATGAAAGGATGTTCAAAAGAAAAGCTGGCCAAATCTAAAAAGATTCAAAACACTACACACTACATTTGACTTTTTATTTAGCATGGGTTTTTGCAAGAAAGGAAATAATAATAGTTCAGAAAAGAAAAAAAATATTGTGGAAAAAGGAAGGGAAAACATAAAACACTGCCAGATCTGGTTGCTTCAATTTGAAAAAAAAGTTTAAAAAAAAAATCTTGCAGTGTTTTCAAACTATTTAATTCATAGAATATCCTTGGTTGGAAGGGACTCACAAGAACCATGAAAGTCCAAATCTTAACAAAGCAGCTGCATTTCAATCATCAGCTTGACCTGAGGTATTTACCCTATAATACCAATGTGTCTGTCTCTCAAAACACTATTACTGCTAACACTTATATTTCATATGTTATGAAAACCAAATAATGTAGCTCATGTAAATATGCAACAAATGACATTTCATGTTTCAGGGTGTCTTTTATTTCTGTATGAAAATAGCCAATAAAATAATGCAGTGATACTGTCACTCATTTAAAAAGGAGGGAATCCTATTGCCTCACATATTCCCATGAAAACACTGAATTGCATCTTTTTAGCTTCAAAGGTATCTTTTTATACCATAGATATTGTTATAGCATATGTTGTGACACTCCCTTCTCCCCTATTTCTAATATAAAGACAGCTTAGGAACTTCCATCTCCTTCCCCACTGCTGTGAAGGATCCCACAGAGAAATCACTGCACTGTATTGCCTGCTAAGTTGCACTTTAAACTGACTGACTCCAAACAACCCATACTTTGAAAGGAAGTGAGAGTTACCCAGGTGCTTTCTTTTCTTTCACATCACATAACAGGGGCTTCTTGCAAGGAGATTTACTTTCTGCATCTTCCAGCTTAGTTGTTTCTGGTACAGTTTTCCCAGATGGTCGATGGTGAGCTGAAGATTTCACACCTACGTGACCAGGGCTGGGGCATTTTCTGTCACTGTTTAAAACAAATTAACAAAATGTTTAAAAGTGAAAGCAGCTAAGCTGTTTTTCAATTTATTTTCTCTATGGAGGTAGTTAGTATAAGTGAAGACATATGAGGTGCTTTATTGTTTGCTTTAAGAAATACACAGAAGTTTTTACTTGCCACCAACAAAATTGTGTATCTGAGATTTTCAGAAATCACAATACAGACCTCTCTTCTCCATTAAAACAAAGGTAAAATGATTAGGCAGTTCAACAGGAAGAAAAATTTTCTAGTATTATTTTTGATTATAAGCTAAGCACTTCATACATTTGAAATACAAGAACACTTTGGAGTATCATTTTCCATCTATCCCTTCTCTCCCATGATATTACACTGTGCAGCCTTTAAAATATTATATGCAGTATCTTAATTGGGACAATGAAAACCAGTAGCACTTGGTATGGTCCCTGCCACAGAGGACACTCCTCAAACTGCTCCTGCATTCACTGGGATGGTACTGGGGCTACCTGTCAGGGTGTAGTTACAACACTTCAGAGGTCTAAAACTCTACATTTATAAGAACAATTGAATCAGGCAGCACTCTTTGACAGCCAAGTATTTTGGTTTTTAAAGCACAAAGCTGAAACTGTCTCCCAAGAATGTAATTTAAAAGACGTATTGAAAATATGTGGCCATTTCAGTGGGAACTGGAAATCTTCACAATGAATGTTCCCGTTTTCACATTTATGTTAATGCAGCCCTTGAAAAGAATGGAAAGTCTCTCTTCTTTTATTTTCCTTCTTAAATTCTCTGTATATCCTCACAGCCCAAAATAAGCACAAGAATTATTATCCACAATTTCTGATCGAAAATCATCATCTGAAAATGATCATCTTGGTATTGCACTCCTCTTTTTTCCCAGTGCTCCTGCTTAAAAGCTTCAGATACAGACTTCAGCACTGTTCTGGCAAAACTCACAGGAACTTGATTCCCAACTCCCACAATAATGACAGCATTTATAGTGGCTGCTCTTCAAAGAGCAACATTAATTTACAGTCACGTCAATAAGACCACCCCAGCAAACAAAAGAAACAAATAAATAATTTTCTTAAGTGAAACCAACTGGTAAAAATTCAGTTTTAAATTCCAATTAACCACCTAGTAGTCTAGATAGTTAGACTGAAGAGGAAACCAACTCTTGTTAAATCTTAGACAGTAAAAGCAGTATCAGTCTTTGACAGCAAAGTGACCTTTTCAATAAGCACCAATAAAACCATTTTTCTTCCCTGTAAATGAAAATGCAGATAAATAGGCAGATCTTTCTGAAACCATCCAGCTATTGCACAAGTATAAAGTGCATTGCAGGACACGGAAATAAAGTACTGCTGTTAGTCATGGACATCAATTCAATCATAATTACTTGATTACAGGAGAGGTGGATCTTTCACTTGCTTCCACTTTTCTGTTTCTGGAAATAGGACTGGCTGCAGGCATCTCCCCACTCAACCGGTCAGGTAAGAGGCTTTCTTTGTTCAAGTTCATCTCTGAATACGGGCAGCTGACTGCACTAGAAGTTGAAGAGGAAAAATGACCCCTTATTCTCAGACACTTTACTGGCTTCAGTTATTTCAAATAAAATGACATGAGAGTTTTCTGGAAGCAGATGCAGTAAGTTAATATAAAGAAGATTAAAAAAACCACAGTCATACTTTAAATCCACCAATGAAAAAAACTCAACCAGAATGACTACAGCATTTCCTTTTGACAGCAACTTATGTAACACAAACTGTATTAAGTTATAGTACAGCACTTGTTGTGGAAAACTGCTTGACGAATGGTTAGCCTGCACTGTCACAACTTCAGTAATATTTATACCTAAAATACAGAGTGCCTTTGACTATAGCCATCTCTCTCCAAATAAAGTCATATTGCCATGGTTATTTTTCTGTGAAGAAGGCTTTTTCTATTATACAATGTCTACACAGAAGGTGCATTGCAAGGGCACAATATGAGCAGTGGTGCACATCCTCCTACTGCAGCGAATGCCACTTTGTGATATTCCAATAAGAGACTGTGATATTTTCAGTCTTTCTTAACACCGAGCACTCCCTAAAGCCCTGCAATCCAGCTGGTGAATGAATTTGACACTGCACATTGACATAATGACTTGGAAATATTACTCTTAACTAATGTGAAAATTGTACAACCCAAGGTCAGAAAACCTGTGTTTGCGCAAGAAGTAGGCAAAGTAAAAGCAGCAACACAAACCAAAACACACAGGGCCAAATTTTTTTCTTTAGAGGAATGCTCTGCAGTGTTCAACTGATCAGTCAGCCAGGCTACATACTCAGCATATCCATGATAATATCCTAAACTCTGAATAGTTCATATATGCCAAGACAGTGTGTAACATCATGCTCAAGTTTTCAAAACTCTATGTAAGATACAGGAGAGGTTGTACTAAACATGATTTGTGGTTCATGAGCTATGACACTGACTGCAATCTGAGATTATGTCTTCCTACTCACATGTATTATTACAAGGACATCTATAACATTAAAAGGCAAAAAAAACATGCTCTGAGATTGTTTATTTTCATTTCAAGAATATAGCTACCTGCCTTTCCATAGATCACTGCAATGTTTTGTTTCACTGATAGTTACATGCACAATTTCCAAACAGAACTGCCAAATATAAACAAGTCTACCTTGACAGCCATATGCCTTGCCACCTCCAAATTACAAAAATAAATTGAAAAACTACAGCTTTCATTATTATGTTGTTTTGCAAAGCACAGCATAAAATAAAAAGGACCTTTTATTCAAAATATACTGTACACTCCCCTTTTCTTTTACTAATGACACTCTGGATTCAGAATGAGTATGAAACAACTCTGATAACAGGGTTCAACCAATACTGGTGATCCAACACAAACAAAATGTTGATGGAAATTTACATTTCTCTCAGCACTAGCATGAAAGGAGAAAGTTCCTTAAGGCTACACAGGAGAAGTCAGTCAGTCCTTGTTGGGGTTATCAAGACAGGATATGGACAGCACATCTGATTTTTTCAGTTGGTTCATTTTAAAACAAGACAGTAACAACATGTTTTTTCTTTTTTTTATGTTTAACTCCTTGAATAGCTATGCTGAACTTGAATTATGCAGGAAAAAAACTCAGAATACAGTTTCTGCTTTTCTAATCAAGATGAGATCCCTGTTTAAGGTCACTCTGAGCAGATACTGTTCCACAACAGCCTGTAGTGTGTTTTCAAGGGACATGCAGTCATATCCCCAGGTGATCTAATGAAGCACAGAACAGTTGTCTTTGCTTTCTTCTGGGGAAATTTTTGTTTACACAGCCAAATAAGCTGAAGCCAAATGGGTGGCTGGACTCTAAAACACAACACTTGAAACAGAGTATGTTTCTGTTAATGAAATTGTTTTAGAGATGTGGAACAAAATATACAAATAAAAAGTAAATGCTCCAAGTTTTTTATTTCTAATTTCTTTTAAGCAGAACTTGGCATTTTATTTTAGATTTATTTATGTACCTCTACTTACACTTATTTTTCAACCTATTAGGTTTGTCTGTCTTAGGACTAGCCTCGGCCAGGTGTCTTAATAAAACAAAAACATCAACTGAAACATGGGGAAGAAAACAGGAACATTAGGAAAGAGGGGAAGTTCTTTTATATTCTCAATTCCTGATGCTGCTGCATCTATCACAAAGATGTCTTTTTTCCTTTCCAAATGAACTGCAAGATGAAAGATACAGGTTTCTACTCAGAAAAAGGTTTTAAGGCGCCAGTAGTAGTGAGATTTAAGTTCTTGCTGTGACAAACATGCACCACTGTGATGAAATACAGTTATCAGAAACTTGTGAATACATTGGTTAAACCTCAGTTCTCCCACTGCTATAAAGCAAAGCATGTAATCTTCTTTTGGCTTACTATGCTCACAGGAGTGTTTTGAGACTTAGTGTTTCTGAGTAGTTACAGGGCTGTCTCAAGGAAACACTGAGCACTAGCAATGTGGTATTTAACTTCAGTTGTGTATTATTAAGCAAGACTTAAGACTGCAGTGAAATCTGACAACATGATTGTCAGGCATCAGCAGGTTTTCTGTTTACTAGCACCATTAATACATTTTAGATTTTAAAAAAACCTCCAAGAAACAGCATCAAAATTCAGTCCTTTGTTTTAACTTCCCTTATACAGTGTTTTTTTCCTTTAGCATCTTCTGAGAAAACAGAAGCTGAATGACAACTTCAGTAAACAACAGTTATAATATTAATGATACTTTATAACACTGGATTCAGATGAGGTTTTTTTTGTAATTATTATTGAAGTTGCTGCATCATTTTTTAAAACTCCTTGATGGTCCTTTGATGTTACTGTTACTTGAGGCAATGAAAAGAATCATCGTGGTTTCCCCTGTTAGCTTGGCTATAACAAAACAGGGCATGAATGAACCTGTGTATGAGTTACATGGCTTCAGATCAATCAGTAGATTCTCCTAAATCTCAATGCCTCCAGCCTTCAGTTCAGTTTAACTTGTCTACTACAAAGAAGAAAAAATTAATCTTGCTATTCATACATAATAGAAGTATTTGATTTATATAGGCCTTTTAAGTTTTTAAGACAAATCATCTAAAGGGATCAGAATTCTGATGTTTACATTATTTAATATTAAATTAGGATTTTTCTTGAACTTAGTCGGGCTTGGTTCTGTGACCACTTTCCTGGGTAGCCCAGAAGCTTTTGCAAACCTGTATCAAGCCACAGACGGGTCACCTGGTTTAGCTGTACTGGTATGTTACCAACCCCAGCTCCTCAGTGCCTTTCAGGCACATGTTATTGCCAAGCACTGCCAAGAGATGAGGTTGTATGACAGCTGCAGAAAAATTCACCTGGATTTGCTCAAACTCTCTTCCTTGATAGGGTAACCAAATAGATTGGACTAACAGATGGATTCAACTTTTCCAGAGCAGCCTATACCCAGATGACTGCATCTGCTGGTAGTGATATATGATTAGCAAGAAACCTCCAGAAAAAAGGTCCTGACAATATCTGGGGAATGTATTCTTATTATGCTGATGGATTTTGTTAAGTGATCTCTTCAGTTTACTTTACAAAAACATTTTTAACTAGTCTGGAAACGAGCAATACAAATGTTCTTTCACAAATTGCAATGCATGTTTCTCATCAAAGCATTCTTTTTTTAGGAGAAAGCTGCTTCAACAGTCTAAACCTGACTCAAGAGTAGTTTATAATGGATTTGGCTGGGGCCAATGTTAAAAGATAAAATTAGACTTGAGACTGGCATCAAAATCAGATGGGAATTAGTTCAGCAGACACTGAACAAATAGATGTGACATCCTCCTGAGCTGAGGTTTCCTGTGTTTCTGTCCTGTGGTTCTCCTACAACACAGCCTCTACCATGGCACATTTGGTTCACTTCAACTTATGCATAACACATGTGAAGTTTCTGGCAAAAATCTTTATTCACGGAGAGTTGACCCAAAACACTAATGACTTATTTACAACTCACCTTTTTGCATTACTGCTTGAACTTGAGAACTGCTGCATGTACAAACTATCAGAGAGTGTATAATTCACAATCATAAATATGCAGGTGATGTGTGTAATGCTAAAAACCTGCACATCAGGCTGTTTTCACTGCACAGCACAGAACCCTACATCAACTGTTGATAGATATGAACTTCTTATTAACATCAACTTTTCCAAAAACTAAATGCTTTAGCCCTGCTACATAATTAATCACCAAGGCTTTCACCTGATTCTTAAGGAACAAGCTCTCAAAATTATTTCAGAACTACTTAGAATTTTAAATTATCTTTTCTGCACACAGGCATTTATGCTGTAGAAAGATAAGCATGGTTAAATACATTTCAAGGTTGCCAAGATAAAAGAGCCAAGGGAATGCTACCTGGTGTGTATAATTATACCATTTTCAAAATGTCTTTGTTAATTCCAGAAAAAGGTGATGGCACAATGTTAGAATTTTTCGGGTGACTTGGACTCTCAAATTTGTAGACTCCAGGTAAATAACAACTCTCATTATTTTCCTTAGAAATGCAGAAGAACAAAGCACAGAGTATCAGTACCAAGGACAAATCAGTGTCATTAGTAAGATACTTACTGGTGTTAACTTATTTGCTACAAAACTGCAAATACCTGTCTTATGATCAACAAAGCATCCTTGGTTATATTTTTATACCCTAGAACTATCATTTAATGTGCAAATAATAGGATTGCTAAGATCACAGTAAAAATAAGACACAATAGAATGCCATGAGTCTATTTCTTTTCAGGATGAATAACAACTTTAAATAGCACAGAAAACATAGCAATAAAACCAAAGGCTACATGAAGTAAATAAACATACAGCTCTTACTCATCCTTTCCCTCTAAAACATCAGAACTTTTAGTGCCAATGTTTATTTAGAGAGACCATAAATTAACAAGTTTTTCTTTTTTTTTTATTTCAAGGTTCAGCCTTGGGCTGAAACCCATGGGTATGTTCACCTGATTCTAATTAATTGAGATAGCACACGGTAAGGAATTGAAATTTAGTGCCTTCCAGATCAGGTGCATTAATAAATCACACAAGGCTCAAGTCTACCAGAATATTAAATAAAATGGGTTTCAGAGAAGCAGGCAGGAAGCTTTTCAGGCAAGTCTAGTTTACTTCACATTTGCAATGGACTAAGAACACGAATGAAGTAGGTCACACATGATAAATGAAAGATGGTAACTTTTTAAGAACTGATTTGGCTGTTTAAGGAGCTATCCTAGTTATTGAATGCAATAAAGGGAAGGTAGAAAAACCGAAAAAAAGCCCAACCCACCAATGAAAAATAACATGGACAGAAAGACAACAAGAGCAGGGTGAGAACAGACTGAAAGACAGCAACACAGCATATTGTGTTGTGACAACACCACCACAGTTCACACTGCAACAAGTTTTGTCACTGGAGCTAACCCAGCTATGTCCTTTCCTGGAGATACAGATTGTCCTAGAACTAGGAGTTGTTCTGCCTCCTTACAGCACAAACACAATGCCTCTGCTGTAGATAGGAGAGAACTTGCAGCAGAAGATGTCTTTTGCACAGCAAACATGTAACAATACAGTGAGTTTTGCTGGCCAGGTATCTTTGTTAGGGATTAGTCAGGACTTGAAACAGTGCTGATACACCAGCAAACCCTTGTAGCAGAATTCTAGTCAATGGGACATAATTCTCTTATCAAAAACAAATAAAAATTGCAGAGCTAACTCTTGGATCACAGTAGCTTAAAAAGATAATTTAAAACATGAATAGGCAAATAACCAAAGAGCACTCCTGTAACCATAAAAGAGCAGAAAGAACAAAGGGATATGAGACTTGAAAACTCTATGTGACTGCAATGGAAAAATTGCAAGAAAACTTGTGGAAGCTCTAACTGGCAAGAAGCTAATGGGATGATACTTAAGATGCTTAATTCCCAACTTAACATACTATATTACCTGTATGTTCCTTACTGCAATATTCAGGGTTCACCTCAGACTGTAAATATCTTTTGAATTATAAAATTTTGACTTGGGAAGTGTTTCCCACTTATTCTTTCATTGACTCTGTCCCCCGATTCCATTCTCCCATGCTACTGCTCTCCCTATGTCAACTCCCCTCTAGGATGGCTTGTCCACATTTCTGTATTATACTTCAGAAGATGTTCAACACAACTTCTTTAGAAACATTAGGTATAAGCAGCAAGTTGTTCAACCTGTCATTCAGGAATACATCAATCAGAATTTCCTTTCTAGCATTTTTCCAAGCCAATACGCAAATCCTTATGCTTGCCAACCAAGCAGCACAAAACATCCGAGCCATAATAAAATCAGTGGCCTCGTATTTCAAAAGGTTCAAAAGTTATTGCTTTATATGTAACTGTCTGTAACATTCTGCAATCTAGACAGCAAGCTGAGAAATCCTCATAGGAACAAAAACCAGAGTAACCGAATCTACCAATTGTGACAAAAAGTAATATACAACAAACCTTATCTCTGCACACCCTGGTGAAATGAAGTTACACATTGCTAATGTTTATTTCAGCATGCTCACCATAGCAACTGAAACCATTGCATACTTGGGTTTACAAGATTTCCTGGTTTTTTTTCCAGCTTGGATCTGTTTTCTTGTGAAGAACAATTTAAAAAGTACATCTGCAGACATCCCTCAATTGAAAGAATAAAATGACAGTTTCACAGAACATACCTATGATGGCCGATATGTCTTGCTCTTTTAATATGTCCAACTCCCTTACATCCTGCTGTGGGACACCCTCCATGCTCTAAAGCTTCCACCAATTCCAAGGGACCTGTGTATGTCAGGGAAATTACAAATGAGATTTGAAAAAAAAATGTAAAGGCTATATAAATCTGCAGGAATACCAGCTCACAATAGTAAACATGAAGAAATAAGTAAACAGAAAGAAGTACTTTAAAAATGCATTCTGCAAAAGCATGGTAGAGATTCAAACAACCTAATCCACTGGAGAAATCATTTTATTCTGTGTGAGTAAATCTCTACAAGAAAACTACATCTATATAAAGAACACAAATCTTGGAGCAACTGCATGACTTCAAATTTCTCGCCTACTAACTACATTTAGTTGGAACCTGGTTGTTTTGCAGGAGCAAAGAAAAAGTAAGTCACCCTGCTGTTCCTGAAGACAGGGATGTGTTTGCAATGGATACTGACCTTCTACATTTTTTACCTGAAGTTTTCCAGCGAACAAAATATGAAAGCAAAGGCTGAAAATATTACTAAAAAGAACAAGCCATCAGGAGATTTTTGACATTTTCACTTATCTGAGTTTATGTGTCTATCTGATTTTCATTGACCTGTAACAATGATGCCTGCAGAGACATTAAAGCAGGTATCTGTCAAAACTAGCTTTGACACCTGAGCAAACACAGTATACAACCTATAGCTTCATATGAAACTGAGAACACCTGCTGCACATCTGCAAGCATGCACTGTCCCTCTAGTACTGGTCTTACTTGAAAAGTACATGAACTTGTATCTCCCCCTACAGATAACAATACAGACATGAAAAAGTCTACTTAAATAAATTTTCCTAAATGAAAGATAAGATTCTTGCTCGCAGATGGATAATGAAAGACAGAGAATTATTATATGTAATTAGAACAACCCAAAAAGCTTTTTTTGCCAAATGTTCCAACTATGCTAATGTTACAAAACGATGACTACACCAGTCTGCTACAGCCTTTAGTGTAATGGATGAGAAAACAGAGAATTTTATCTTTTCTACCATTATGCAAAATTGATGCTTATAATGTAACAAGTAAGTGGACACAGATGAAGAGTTATCTTAACAGGGACGCTGTGTAAAGGGAAGTCTTGCCTCACTGATGTTGTGGTTTTGCAAAAACTAGCTCCTTATATATGATCTCTCTTCACTTAAAAAATTCAAACTTTTTAAAAACATCATTTAAAAGAGCTGCAACTCTGTCCATGTTTATGCAAGAAGCTGCTGATTGCATCACTGTGAAACGATATTAAAATCAACACCAATACAAAATTCCCTAACTGCTATCATAAAAGTTATAACCCATCATGACAACTTCACTACATCTGAAAACACTATGAATGCATAAACACTGGTAACTGCTCTAGACTAAAATTGCTAACATTGTACAGGGTTTGCACAAAGTTTCTAGCATTAAAGACAGGGATCTGGACATCATCGTTAAAAGGACTATTATACTGACTGAGGCTAAAAGAGTGTTTTGCAAAGTATTTTCTTGCCTCCTTATAAAACCCTTTCACAAGTCCTTTAACTTATTTGGAAACAGTATTAATATTTTTATAATATTCTATACAGTAATAATACAAAGTCATATTGTTGGAAGAATGTATTATTCAGTAATCATCCTATTTTGTTAGTATTTGCTAGCTTACTATTCTTTTTCTGTTTAATGGACAGTCATGTTCCTGCCTGACACATTGTCCATCTTTGTTTTTGTAGCTTAACTAGTATCAAAAAAATCCACTTCTACCAGTCACACCCTAAAAGATGAACAGTGCCCTCTAAGCCACCACCTAGAGTAGATGACATGTTGTATGTGATGGCAGTTTGTTTCTTTTAATGTCTTAAAAAAAAAAAAAAAAGAATTTACTTATTTTATACTCCCATCTAGGCTAAGATTTTAATTTTTATTTTTTTAATCTTAGGTAATAGAAATGCTGCAAACTTAATCAGCTCTTTTGCCATATGATACAAATTTAATTTATGTGGCCACAGACTACTTTTCCCACTTGGGCTGTTCCTTCATTCAGCACACAGGATGCACATCTCAGATTAAGAAGCAGATATGCAGCATCCCATCTTCTCCTCATTATTCACTTTGTGCTTTGGCACTTACAGCACTCTATTCAGATTCTGAAGGCAGAATGATTAACTTCCTAATAGGCAGTCATCACTGTACTGTTGGAGTGCTCAGAAAACTAATGAATGTACTCTGATCACACTCCTGATAGGAACCATTTCTTCTTGACATTTTAGAGTCACTGTGATTTTCAGGTAACACGTTCAGACAGTCTGTGTGTGACTTATCCCAGTAATTTTACATTTAATTTTTTAGAGTGCTTCGCATTGCTCAGCATTTCTTATTTTCCAAGCACTGTTCTCTCTGATCTTGTTACAGCTGTGAATGTTCATCACTTGTGCAAACCATCCCTCAGAGTAACTACATAAAACAACCTCAGAGAACAGCACTCACTTAAAAAATCATCTGTTCAAAGTCTGGCTAAAGTGATTTCACTACCGTTATCCAGAAACACAATGGCATAGGCAGGAATATATTTACCAGAAAAGTCTCTTCTCCCTGCAACCTTCAGTCTCATTTATCATACACCTCCCACTTATTCCACAGGTAAAACAAAATCCCTAGAGAGGGCAAGCTGGTAAATACAGTGTCATTGTTGGCATCATGCTTCTGTTAGATTTATTTTTAACGTGGGCACCATTAATCCCTCTTTGCTAAACTGAAGAATAAAAGGAAGTTAGCTGGTTTTGAGGATTTGCCACAGCATTTGACAGGAGTGTCTTCCCAGAGCAGTCTGGAGTCCTCTGAGCCAAAACAAACACTAACCATTAAGAGGATGTGGATAGAGGATCTTTAAATTGATACCCTATCCCCGCTGAGTGCCACAGCAGTTTCAGCACTGGCCAACAGATGTTTAACATTACTTCAGGTTTTGACTGTGGTTCTTCTGCACACCAAGAAACATTGTATATCCATTACAGTATGGGTCAGTCAAGTTAACTACTAAAAAGTAATCAATTACCGACTGTTGATTTTGCAGTAAATGCCACATTTACATTGTTTTGCATATCTTAGTTGCTTCTCCTCCTTGGACAGCACTGGCAGGGAAAAAGAGAGCACAGTACACATACATGCCTTTCAGCATCATTACATTACAATGGGATTTCTCTTACTAAGTGGGGGCTGAAGAGGGTGTCCAGTCTTCGTACACCAGCCTGCAGGATGGATATCAGGGCTATCTACATCTGTCCAATAATCATAAATATTGTCCCAGCCATCAAAATGAACCTAAAACACAAAAAGGAGAATAATACATCTTAGACCAGAAAAATTCTCCCTATGATCAGGTTCCCTAAGTAATCTCTAGGAATGACATGCCCATTAGAGAAGTCACTTTCAGAGAACTATTCAAGTTACACAGAAAGTACATTACATTCTGGACCCAGGCATGCTCTCACTAAAATAAACAACTATGTATCACATGGTTGTTTACTCTGTTATCAGGCTCAAATCCCAGGAATAAAGCAGGCCAAGTTTAGTTCTCACATTAATACTTAAATTAAGCATGAATTTCTGCCTTTTTTATCTCTCAAAAAAAACCCCAAACAAAAATCCAAACGTTTTTTAATCTCCCATTTGAACAGGATTTAAGAACAACAGAGCAGTAAGCAAAGGACTAAAAAAAAAGGAATTTATCTGTAAAAAACAAACAACTCCCCCAATCACACAAGTAACAACTTCACTAAAATCAGATCATAAGGGATAAAGAGTTGAAACTGAAGAGAAAATGAAGGATGTGACTTCCCAGAAATAAAACCACCAGTATGGGCCACACACTTTTTTTTGCCACGTGAAAGCTAAATAAGTTCAAATCTTACATGACCTCTGTATTAGTAAATAGCTCAGATCTCTCATGCACACATGTGTGGATGCACGTACACAGTGATACAAACAGAGCTCTGTCAACATATGCTGCAGAGTCAAACTACTTCCCTAAATTTACAAATCCTATCATTTAATAAATTAGATTGGAGAGTGGGTTTTTTGTTTGTTTTGGTGTGGGATTCTTTTTGTATGACCAACTTAAGATAGAAAATGTGTAGGTGTGAAGATATTAGTTCTGATGACTCCCCACCACCAGTTAATTCAAATGATTTAAAATTAAATGCCAGTTGCATTTCCTCCTTGAAATACCACATATGCCTAATAAATCTGTACAAACTGCAAATATACATAATCCTCCATTTCTGTCTAACTGGATATCTGGTATATGCTACCCCTTCTAACAGTCAAGGGCTTCAGAGTGTAAAGTGGTTTTGTACAATAAAAGAAAATTCAAGTATACAACTTCTGCAAAATACATTAAAAATACATTAGCTTAGACTAATCCAATCTAAAGTCCATACTTCATAGAAACTGCACAGAACTGCAGAAATGACTGACAAAGCACCAGAGATCAAGGCTCTTTCTTCTATATCTCACATATATCTCTCTCCTCCCGTTGGAAGTTTATAGAGACAGATTCAATTAACCTAGACCAAATATTTTATGGTTCCTAATACAAATAGCAAAGCAGCCCTTTGACACTTGACATTAAATAACCACATTTCTTGATAGAATAGACAATTGTCTTCTATCAGCTATTCCCAAAGCAATTTTCCAACTCTGCTCTCTAATTACCTGCCTCAGCAAAGATAACTAACAGGACAATCAACCAACCCCTTCCAAACGAACTACATGTATAATAATCAGTGAAAAGTATGAACAAAATCTTAGCAGAACAGAGTAATGTGACTCATTTCTTCTCATGGTTAATTTCACAACTCTAGGATTTTGGTTTTACAGAGTCCGCATCAGTTGCTCAAGCAGATAGTACAGTAAGACAGAGAAACTTACTTTTATTCTATAGTCATCAGTATCTACAATGGTTGCTACTCTGATAAATACTGGATTTCTCTTGTCAACCACTTCAAGTTTCATGTTTTTCTGAAAGCCATGAGAAGGTTTCTAAAAAAGAACAGTATTATGTGAAGTTGAACAAAACCTCAAAAATCTCACACAACTTTAAAATATATAAAATCCATTGAAAACTTTCCGCCGCCTTCTTCTCAAATCTGCCCTCAGCTACAACAAATTCAAGCATCAAACAATTCAAAACAGTGTTACTAAATTAGTGATATTAAGTAACTACTTTGGGATCCCAGGTCCTCCTGCAATGGACTGGATTCAAGTCATCCAAGCAAATAAGTTGAATTGCTATTTCGAATCAGGTTTTTTCCCAAATTCTCTAGAAAAGTTCCTAGAGATTTTGGCCAACAGTTTCAATGAAGTATTTAATAAAGTATTACACATTAGCAGCCTGAAATGTCTATGGAATTGTCTACAGGAAACATATTTGTGCATTTTAGCTCGTGTTTTCACTTCATGAATCAAACTCTTTTTCAGTCTCCTACTGAAAATGTAACCAACTAATCCACAGTGTAACAGCAAATACTTGCTCAGAACAAACAGAACCAAATACTTGTTTTTCAATACTATTTGGCAAAAATGGTGTCTTTGGTAAGAGTATCAGATCTTATCTTTGCCATCTACAGCTATGAAAGCTAAAGCAAAATTATTTCCATTTTAAAGGAACATATGCACAAGACATGTCATGGCTTTTATTCTAGTTTTCTAAGAAAATAACACATCTGTCCCTCTAGGACCATGCAGAGAATTGGTGTTTCTGCCTCAGTTGCAGCTTAAGAACTTTCTTTCTCCCACAATACAATATGAAACTGTTACTATGTCTGATATAAGCAAATACTCTCCCAATTCTTGCTCAGTGTATTCATGCTGAGAATGTAAGATTGAGAAACATTATTAAGCCAGACACACCTTGGGGTAATAAACTGCAGGTCATTAACAAACTCTGGTGATCTACTGACCCTAGGAACCTCTATAAATAAACACCACAGTGTTATTCAGAATCAGCGTCCCTAATCTGAAAAACTGAGGCAAATGTCCTTCAGCATGCTGTGGGAAAACGGGCTGGGAGCTACCAGCCATCTGACGCTGGTTCCCAACAACAATCCAGGATCATTGGAGGGATGGAGCACCTCTCCTATGGGGAAAGGCTGAGAGAATTGGATTTGTTCAGCTTGGAAAGCAGACGGCTTAGGGGTGACCTAATTGCACACTGCCAGTACCTGAAGGGAGACTACAGGAAAGATAGAGACAGACTTTGTACAAGAGCATGTAATGACAGGACAAGGGGGAATGGATTCAAACTGAAAGAGAGCAGGTTTAGATTAGGTATTAGGAAAAATTCTTTATTGTGAGGATGGTGAGGCACTGGAACAGGCTGCCCAGAGAAGTGGTGGATGCCCCACTCCTGGAGATGTTCAAGGCCAGGCTGGATGGAGCTCTGAACAACATGGTCAAGTGAAAGGTATCCCTGCCCATGGCAGTGGGGTTGGAACTAGATGATCTTTAAGGTCCCTTCCAAGCCAAACCATTCTATGATTCTGTGATTCCTTCATGTATTAGTGACCAGTCCATTTATCTCACTGAAATCTTGAGAGCTCAAGAAAGATGGGTGTCACTGACAGAAACTAGCAACTACAAAGCTAAAAGAAAAGAATGTTGCCTGCAAACACCATAGTGAAGCTGGGGAGCTGCCTGTAGATGCTGCCCATATATCCTATTTGCAAGCCTGCAAAAGAAAAAGTCCACTGCAGGGTGTTAAATACAAGCTCTCTCTTGATTACTGCCTGAGGCCATGGACTAGATGTGCAAACAGACTAATCTCTTACAACCATTCTTACACTATTTATTGCACAATTTAAAATGTACAGATTGAAATACATATCTTCAAAATACATTATCATGTAGCTGTCATTATTTCTAATAACTGGGCAGTAATTTTCCATAGCAAATTAGATTAATTTGTAATATCTTTGTAGCATTTAATCCCATTTATGAAAATTAAAATAATAAAGTAATAGTGACTTATAATAATCTCATTTCTAACAGTGAACTGCATAAAAATAAAGCACCTATTATGCAACTAATTAACTGGATACATTTGGAAACATAGGAACCCCATATATGTATTGTCTTCTCAAACTAATTAATTACATGAACTTACAAGCATGAAAAAAATATAAGCATTTTCTCACCACTTTAAAAGCCCTTGCAGGTGCAGGCAATGAACTGGTTTCTTCCAAATACTTCTCCCAAGAAAAATGCTTAGCGTGTGGATAATCTGGTACAGAACAAATATGATCAAAATTAAAACCAGCAGTGCAAAATAATAAAGTTAATGTATAATTTACAGAGTGCCTAACACTTTCATAATACTGTTCTGCTTTATGCTTCGTATTTATAAAAGAATTACAAGAAAGGCCCTTCTAAATTGTCTCAGACACATTCACCATATAGGTTAAAAGTCAACAATCTTCTCATACACAACACCAACTAACTATGGTACACAATTGCTCTGGATATGAGAATATAAATAATGTCAGTCAGAAAATCTGTCAACTCAAAGAAATTAATTCAAGTAGTAAACAGTCATTTACTGGCAAACACAATCTAATTTGTGATAGCTTTGTACCACAGTAGAGCACACTTGACTACTTATTACTCTTTCAGCGAGCTCTTTTTAACTAAATTTCTAAAAAAAGACCCTGGATATTTATGATAAGAATAATCCTCAGACATCATCAAAGAAGCTGCTGCCTTTCTCAGAAAGCGTCATGTTTATGAGCACTTTATACAAGAAACACAGACACAGCTTGGCTCTTAAAGAAAAGGCAGTGCCTGTCCTTCACCTTTCTCTGCACCAGTAGGTTAACTTCAAGTTTAAACATTATGATTCATAATCTAGAACAGAATGAAACCAATACTAATTTGCTTTAAAAGGGATTTCACTGAATAATAGGTTGCAATTAACCTCCTGACAGACTGCTTATGACTTTTCAAGAGTGCTGGCTACTAGAATTTCAGTCAAAGTTGGTTTTAACCAAGCAAAATTTTCCATGATCTCAGACCACAGATGCCAGTTTCTCCAACAGGGCATTAGATCATCCAGCCATACACAACAGTCCTGAAAAACAGTGGTGGTCTCATGTTTCATACTGTTGAATACACTTTCATTTTTCTGTATCATCTCTCCCATTGCATTTTCCTCCCTTCCAAAAAGCCCTTACACATTTGATTCTTTGATCATGTAAGGCCATCTTCTCATCAAGCCATTATCCTGCATATTTACTTCACATGAAGATGTTTTTCTTATGCAATGATATCACACACCTGGAATTTGCTTTATCAGCATTTTCAGAATATGATAATTACAATGTGGATACATTCAGCCAAAAATACAAACTTGTTCAGATTTCAAGGGATATCTTTCATGGATATGTATCTCTTTAGTAATGGAGCATACATGTGCACACATAACATCTATTACAATTCTACTTTAAATGTATGATGCCCTGTAAAACAATTTAGAACTACACAAATATTCATTCTTTCTTACAGGAAGAAAAATTCAGGAGCAGCAACAGTATGATTATTGTAAGTTTTAATGCTGACAGCTGACTATAACCTCTTTGAATCTTTCAGATGTTTAATAAGATACAAACCTGGTGGGGTGATGAGAGTTCTTTTATGTTCTTTACACCATCCAACAGGATGAATATGTGGGCTAGCTGCCTCACACCTGGAGGAAGGGGAGGGAAAAAAAGGGCCTGATAATGCAGTCCTATTATGCTTACAAAACCAGACATACAGAAGAGACAACAAATTCCAGGCAACCCACAATACCTTCAACTTACGCTTAAACTGCAAACATAACCTGAAGATACAAATACAGTCAACATAGACTTGTTACCACCCATACAATCATAAGGTCTTCTTTACAGTTTCACTGGAAGATCAAAACCCAAGTCCTTTAAGTCAGTGTCAGGTCTCCACTGAGAAGCTATAATGCTGGACCTGAAAAGTTCACACATAGAGACTCTTGGTAGAATCATGTTGGCTGGCTGCAAGAACGCAGTAATCCCATCAAGGGCAGATGGAGTCTTGCAAGACTAAAGCTTTAAACCAAAAGCTTAAAATCTTGATTATCATTCAGGATGCACCTGAAGGCAGATGTGAAAATCACGAATAACTGCAGAGCATTGTCAATAACAAGCAAAAATTTGAAAGTGGATTCCCAGTGGTTTGAATGGAGCTATAAATACGTTGCTATAACCCAGCAGCACACAAGCAAAGTGAGTCCAAGAGAAACGGTCAGAAAAAAAAAGAAGCAGTAGCAATTTAGGCCCAAAACTGCATGAAAGAATCCAGAACTAATCAGTGATCTAAGACTGCAAACTACTCTAAAAATCTGACTAAGTCTTGTAAAAGAGCAACTAACAACTTCCTATATTTTCTGTCAAATGCATCGCATTCTGCACTAGTTCTGTTGGTTGTGGCATGCCACAAGAACCACAGAAGAATAACAGAGGCAGAGTGAGCTACACTTGACATGTGCTGGCATGTGTCTGAAGCACGAAAAGCTTGCTCTCACTGTGCTCACTGGGTCAGTTACATTGTGCATAGAAGAAAGTGGCAGTGGGAGCTGGTTATCAAGTTCTGTTACAAAACCAAAACCCAATAAAAGACACACAGAAAAAAAAGTAACTGATATAAAAGTAGATGAGAGAAAACCTGTTTAAGCCTTCTAGAATAATAAATTGTTATATGTATAACTGTATATTCTTACAAAATATTGTTACATTATTTCATAGCACAATACTTTATGCACAATACAACACTACATATAATATATAATGTATACACTATAATTGTTATTACTCAATATTATTAGGAAAGGCAAAAAGTAAGACTCATCTACAGGAAAAGTAAAAAGCTATCAGACCCTGCTGTGAAACATGCACCATCCCTATGTCTGCATCGATACTTGATCATTCGTTTTGAGCTGGCTGAACCATTAATTGCTTTTTAATTAAGTACACAGTACTTATGCAGTCAGAATGACTAAGAAACATGATGCTGACACAAAAAGCTAGCATTATTCAGCAGAGCACTGCACTATGCTGTGCAAACATACTGTTTGCCTCTATTTAGCTGAAAACTCATATATTATAATTATGTAATCCCTGTGTAGATCTGCCCTTAAGGAGCTCACTTCTCTTAGGAGCCCATCATACCCAACTTCTTCTCCAGTTAAATTCAGTATTACTGTGCACTATCTCTCTCTTCCAATACTTCCTAACCCTAAAGGTGTTTCAGTAACTGACATTAAATATTCCCAGCTACATGCCCTCTCTCTCTTCCAGAGAGTCCCATCAGCATATCCATCTCTCCAGTGGCCATGAGCACAATGTCCCACTCACTCCAAGGACCCACCAAGGCCAGCAAAATGAGGCCAGAGTGAGCTGAAGTAGCTAAGGCCTTCATTCCCCATGGCCAAGGGAGGGATCAAGAAACAAAGCTTAAGTAGCCAAGCAGCAGTCTAGATTAAAACACCATCTCCCCCTCCTGATGAAGGAATGCCATTTTCCAGACACTTCTCAACTACTTATAGGCAGAGAGCATCCATGCATGAAGGCATGTACTTCATATACAATAATCATTGCATATAGTACTGAAAATTTGTGATCCAGTTGCTATTTAATCCCTCTCTGAAGTCAACGTATCCATCATTAGGCTGGAAAAACAACATGTATTCACTCACTCCCTTTTCCCTCAACCCAGGAGTTTCTTATGCAAAATACCTGAACAGTGGGGGTCTGCTGTCTCTGAGTGTTGTAATATAATCATTATCTGTATCTACAGAGAAAGCATTAGCAAGCTGGAAGTTCAAATTAATTAAGTTCCCTTAATTAGCAATACTAATTTATAATTTTTTTCAAATATCACATGCTGATAATCCACAATACCTAAGAGGGTGCAGTGAACTGTGCATGATAGAAAAAGAAGCTGAAGGTAAATCAGCAGGCACTCTTAACATCTTAAGGCTTAGATCAAAATGCCAGATCTGCAGATCTTGAACACAAAGCCATTTTAAAGGACTGCAAAAGGAAACACAGCACAGCAAAGAGAGTAGACTGAACCCTGGGCTACTACCACATTTCAGATTTGAACCTGTGCAGCATAAAACAAAAATGGAGAACATCACATTTGAAATACATGGAATAACACTTTTTTTTTAAATCTGAAAAGTACTTTTACATGATATCTAAAATTCAGCATAGATAAACAACAGAAATGCAGTTGGGTGCCTCAGAACATTGTCTCACAACAAGCACTCTTCTAGCCTTCTACCTAAACAGAGTCAAGCACTAATGATGAAAAATTCTGGCCAACGTTAATATAATTATCTCATGGCTATATGTATGAAACAGTTCTCCTAGTATTTCTTTGTAATGGTGCCAAACAGATCAATTCCTAGCACATAAAACCTACCTTTGACAGACTCTGTAATGGCTCTGACAATAGCCAAGGATTCAATTCCATCCAAGAATACCGACCTTTTGTCCTACTACAATATATAAAGCTATACTATATGTATTTAGTATATATAGTGTCACTCCAGGTACTCTATACATCACTGAAGTCGCCATTAATGAAAGGAAGCAAAGGAAACAAAAGAACTTTTCTGAAAATTTTGCACTGTTAAAACACAGCACCTGACTCCTAGAAATGCTTTGCCCCAAACAAGAGAAAAAAAGTGAGTGCTTCATGCTCCCTCTAGTATCTTCTTTTCTCTTCAGTAACTATTTCTCATTCAGTAACTATTAAGAGAAGCTAATGAGGACGTGGGCCAGCACTTCTCTCTTTATCCATCTCAAGTTGGGGTTTTACATGGATGAGATAAACTTCTGCACTGAAAGGCATAACCTCTTACTTCCTAAAATCCACAAATTATTTTCAAAAGTGTTCTGAGCTAAATTTGTGAACAAGACCCATGCTCCTGAGTCACTGTGGTATTATCAGTATTATAGTTCAAATAATCAGGTAGACATTAAAAACATTATCAGGACGAACTTTCTAAATACATTTGTTTTGATTTGCTTTTTCAAGCACAGTTTGAACACACATTTTTCTAAAATTCTAAAAAGTGAATGCTACTGCACACACTTCTTGCCCTGAAGATTCAAGAAGAAAGTGACCAAGGTATGTTGCAATGAAAGATGCCTTTCTGGAAGATCCTCTGACATTACAGCAATAGGTGTGAACACGGAAAACAAAGGAACAAGTGCTACATACAACAGCACTGCAAAATAGCACTATCAAACATCCTCAAATGTTGATTTGCTTTAAAAAAAAACCCCAGACATTACAGATAACCCTCCGAGAAACTTGTGTAAACATGGTGGCCTCAGCAAAAACCCAACATCTCTGTTCCAGCAAAACCAGATCATACAGTCCATCTTCACCTACGGATTTCACACAGCCTTTCAGCTTCTAACAGTTCATTTAACAATAAAAAGTAGAGATCAGTAAAAGTCACATACAATTTAAAGTAAAACTATCATGCCTTAATGTGTGTTATTTCATGGACATAATATCTGGTTTGGAAGAACAACAACAGTGTAACAGACTAAGCCCAAGACTTGTCAACTGGAATGCTAAAGGCTATGCTGACCTTTCACAATCAATTTGCCACATCCCACAGCTTTTTAACTCCTTTGTTCCAAAACAGAAGGCAGATCACCCAGCTCACATGCTTCATAAAACACAATGATCCATGAATTGTGAGGATGCTTGCTAGGTCAGAAAAGGTTACCAACACTAGCAGGAACTGAAGGATTCTGCACCTCCAAACCTACCTACTCCTGAACCACAGCAGAGCACCAACACCACCTTCTGCCAAGCAGTGGAGAGGTGACAAACGCACACTCGACTAATAGAACAAAATGACAGTGTCCACACAATTCATGCCATTTGTGAGCCATTCTTTCTGTCATGTGAGAACATGCAGACAGAAAAAGACATCTCTTATCAATACTGGAATACTGGAAACTGAAGTGGAGCCAAAAGCAGTGTGCCAGCTGAACCTGTAAGAGAGCCATGCGGAGGGGCAGAACAAGGGGTAGAGCTTGCTGAGTTATGAATGCCTTAACTACAGAAATAAACCTCAAAGCAGGGAAGAACTACATGATGTAAAAGGCCAGGAAGCAGTACCACAATAAGGAAAGCTGAGGGCAGCGGACAACATGATGTCCTGGTGTGTGTACCACTTTGCGTGAACATGACAGTTCTTAAGTCACAACAGAAGAGCACATCTCAACTCAGACATGGAAGAAGACTTAGGATTTTTCTACTGATCACTTCCAGCTGTTCTATTAATTTTCCCCAGAAATCTGTTTCATATATACAGCTCATTAAGTCTAGATCAAGAGAGATGGATGCCTGCTGTTGAAAAAATTAGTGTTTAACTATTTTAGAATGATATTTTCTAAAATAAGTCTCCACCTGAAGCTCTGGACAGATTTTTTTATTTAATAATAGGCATTGCCTTTAAAATAAGCTGTATATGTTACACTGATTTTCGCTTTTGAAATAATTTCTGATTTTCCATTTTGAGATCACAAACCTTTTTATATTTTTATTTTCACTTTATTAAATGTAGATACAATCTGTAATGAAAATGTTACCAAAACCCACTCATATACACATGCCCCATACACTCATAAATAATAATATGCCCTCAAGAATGCTACTTATGCAAGTTCTTGATTGTGAGATGTCAGTCATTGAACTGTGCATAAAAAAAATGAAGGAAAAACATAAAAACCATCCTGCAGCCCCACCTAGTGCATTATTGAGAACACTTCATCATTGATAAATATACAGCTGGTATTATTTTAGGTCAGGACTTCCCAAAATATGGTCCATGAGGTTATGGCATGCATCTAGAAGTGCTATAGCAACATTACCATATTTTTAGAGCTTTAGGGTCAGATAATGGCTTGTTATCCACTTAAATAGTTAAGAGCATGCACTGTGACCCATGTTTCTTTAGTATTGTTTTATCTTCTTTTTGACATAATATAACCCCTTCAAAAAGACTGTTCCTTTCAAAGAGAGAGTGGAGCAAAATTATCTCCAAAATGAAACAAGCAGAGCACAACGTTAAAGAACTGGGCTGTTAGCAAAGTATTAAATACTGGTGTAGAACAGAGCTGGCAACTTAGTCTCACACTAAAATCCAATCTGTTCCAAAACTCATACAGATCAGGTGATGATTCAGAGAATGAAAAGATAATTGGTTTTCACAAGACACTTTAGAAATCATTTTTTCTATACAAAATGGACAGGAACACAGCAATGAGTGCAGCATGGGCCATCGTATTTTATCACACCCTTGGAAAGCTGATTCCAAAAGCTAACTGTGGCACCTTTTCTGCACAGGAAGTTCAGACCAAGGATGAGTGAGGGCAGTCAGAGCCCTCTGATGCAGCAAGTTTGGGCTGTAGTATGTCCAGCATGGCCATTGCTCCACTTCTGTGGGTAAGCAGCAACAAGCTAGCACAGCTTCAGCTCTTTAACAAGCTTTGGCTGTGTTTGGATCTGGTCACAAAAAAATCAGGAAGCTGAGGCAACGTAGGTTCTCTGTGTAAATAAAACTGATGTAAGAGAATACATATAGGATGGTCCTATAGTTAATTCATCGTTCAGACATACCCAAAGTTTCCCAATGCTACTTCCAGATTCAGACAACCATAAGAAAATTCAGAAGTTCCACACAGAGGGAATGCCTTTGGCTTTCAAAGTATTACTTGTTTCATCAAAAAAGACGGGACAGGTGGAAAGGACCTGAAGGCTTTTGTCTTCAAGTATAGGTCAAAATTCTCCTCTGTTAAGTAAAGTCTTAATTTGACAATTTTGCCACTATCTACGGAAAATTTAACAGGATTTATTATACACTGGAAGTATCATGACCATGCATTAAAGAGCTGTTGTAATGACTAATTCTAGCCAGAGTACTTACTTTCAACCAATAATGTATTTCCTAATACTCAGAGAATAAGGAAGTGTCTGAAAGCCTGAAGCATAAAAAAGATTAGGTGACGGTAATAGATTTCTGTTGCCTGAAGTCCAGTAAAAGCAGTCAACTCTCTTTCACTTATCCAAGAACAGGAAAGTTTGTTTTTTAACCTCACTGAGAAAGTTCAGCTTACTCTAAATCCTAAATGGTATACAGAAAAAAATAGGTACTTGTTTGAAAATAATCAGCTACATACACTAAATGAATGACTTCACCTTCATTGCAATTCTGAGACTGAAACCGACATGCAGGCACATGGAAACTGCAAGGCTCTGCTCTGGGTAATCTCAAAAAACCTTTTCATTTTTAGTTACAGACAGGAGTTGGTAGATGTGAAATGTATGCACCTAGGATATTTTAAGGCACCCACAAGTCTGGTATCTGAAATTAAAAGTGTAAGTGAGATGCATTCAGGTTGCATCTTCAGACTCTTTTTTGGTTGGTCATTCCACTATTTTAATTTGCTGTTCTTTTCTCCCATTTTCTTTCCTTCTTCCTCTATTCACTCTTGTTCTCAGTCACAGCAATCCAGAGAGGTAGGCCGCATCACTCAGAATTTAACTTCCATGCACAGTACTTCCAGCAGCATCTTCTTGTTGCTTCCACAAAGATATTTTAAGGTTTCACCAGAAGAATAAATCTTAAGCTTGCCTTCAGTATAAATGCACCTTCAATGGTTTCTCAAAACCGATAGGAAAACCTATAGATTTTCCACTTCAATTTTCCATCATCCTTTAAGAAGGTATTATTTCATGTATTCTACATATGAAATTCAGAAAACCCACTTCAGAATACTACAACTGCAAAAACGTAAAGCCTGGTTATGTACTTAAAAGCCACTTTTCTCTCTTCT